GCTGTGACAAGGCCCAGCCACCACTTCAGTGGCTCGATGGGCCCAAAGCAGCACACAAACCAGAAGGGTTTGCAATGCAGAGTGATACTGACAGCTTGAAAGGCTGGGCTGCAGGTACCTGGCTCTGCTCTGCCTTGCTGGCTCAGCCATTCTCACCCCGGCCACAGTGCAATAGTGCCTGGCAGAGAGGAGCAGCATCTGCCTGGCCCAAAGCAGTCTGTGGGAAGGGCAGCTCAATCTCTTTGGAGATCTGGAGGATTTGGGGCAGAGATCCCCATCTGAGCACATGGCAGGCGGTGCGACAGCTCTTGGACATCAAGGAGCCTCCTGCTCTCCCAGCAGCGCAGCTCACACATGGCTGGAGATGGTTTTCTTGCAGCTGACACAGTCAGCATTGATCTACAACTGAATCACAGCCTCTAACGCAACTTGCTGCCTTTGATCCAGGGGGTCTGGAGCAGTCATGATCTGGTGGGCTGGGGCAGCTGGAGAAGAGAAGGCTCCTGAAGGGGAGACTTTAGAGCAGCTCCAGAGCCTAAAGGGGCTACAGGAAACCTGGAGAGGGGCTTTGGACAGGGGCCTGTAGGGACAGGACAAGGGCAATGGCTTTAATCTGCCAGAGGGGAAAGCGGCTGCTTTCCTGAACACTTCCACACTCATTCCCAGCACAGGGTCCTGCTCAGCTGCCATCATCCCAACACCACTGACCAGAGCTAAGACACCTCAGGAGAACCATCCTCCCTGGGACCATGCATCTCCCACTGCCCCAGGCCCAGCAGCACCCATGGGCATCTGGCCGCACCAGCAGATAGGAAATGACTGTGCAGCAGCTTCAGTAGAAGAAAATTAAACCACCCTTTAATAAGTTAATTGTTTCCTCACACAGGAAAAGCTGCTGCTGCTGCCTTTAGGGTGGCTGCAATGACTTCTTTGGGTGAGCTGGGCTTGGGATCATAGAGTGAATCATAGAATCCCAGAGAGGTTTGGGTTGAAGGGACCTTAAAGCTCCTCCAACTCCAACCCCTGCCACGGGCAGGGACACCTTCCACTAGAGCAGGTTGCTCCAAGCCCCTGCATCCAACGTGGCCTTGGGATGGGGAAGGTGATTGCTCCAGGCAGGTCCAACAGAACAACCCTCCTGCCTTGGAGTCCATGAGGGTCCAATGCACGAGCAGCCCCATGGCTGGTGCTTGCTATGCCCTGCAAGGGACAATCTAAGTCCTTAAAGCAAATCTGCCAAGCACCAGGGTGAGAAGAAGCTCCACAGCCAGACTGACCCCTCCATCACTGCTGCTTGATCCCAGCCCAGTGCCATGACCATAGCATCTCACCCAGCACAGGCATGGCCCCAGCTTGGCCTCAGCATCCAGCCCATCATGCTTCCTGCAAAGCACTGATTAGCCACTAATTCCATTTTTTCCACCCATAAATCCGTTCCAGAGCAAATAGTTACCACGAGCACCATTTCCGTGCCAAGGGGGCTGTGACAGCTCTTGTTATTAGGAAGGATGAGTGATTTTGGAGAGATTTTTCTCTCTGCCTGTTTCTTCAGGAGTGAAAAATGAATTCAGAAATACACACAACCCCCATGGCCCAACCAGGTGAGGGTTGGCTGCATAGTGTCTCACCATGGCCTTGACCCCTTTTGCCTGGTCCATGGGCAAGCCCATGGCTGGGATGTAGCGGACATGGTTGTCCCTTTGCCCCCAAATTGGCAGTGGGTGTCCCAGCAGCGTGCACGGTTGCAGGGAGCAACCCTCTGCCCCATCGTCCAGCAAAGGCAATGGGGAAGAAGGTAGGAACAGCAAATAACCCAACATCTAGAGGAGCACAAGTCCTGCAAGCGCAGACAAGCTACAAAGACACGCAAGAGGTGATGCAGTTCCTCTGATTCTCCACAATCTCGTCTCGGATGTTCCAAAGCAGCCCCAAGGCCATAGCAACCAACATGGGGACAAGGCACCTAGAGTGGCAGCAGGACATGGAGCAAACCCCACCCTGCCATGTAAACCAAGCCCTATTTGGGGCTGCTTGTGCAAAAAGAGGGTCAAATAGTGCCCTCACTGCATGGGCTTCAGAGCAGAGATGTGGGATGGCATCAGCCATAGGAACTTGCTGCCATGGTGGTCACAGCCCACTCCTCACCAGCCTCCTACATCACCCATCTGCCCTGCAGCATCTCAGAGTAAAATTGGGATGGTTCCCTTGGCCTTACACCAGCAGCGTTTTTGGGGAATGATGTTTCATAGAATCAGGTTGGAAAAGCCCCTTGAGAACAATGAGTCCATCTGGTCAGACCACGCTGTGCTTCTGCACTGCCCAGGACAGGATGAGACACCCCACCACCTACCAACAGGACTTTTAGTAAAGCTCAAAGCACTTCTGGCTATTAGAGGGATGTGCTTTGGCTGGTGACTACCAGGATGGTGCAGGATGTGCCCACCACGCCTGGGGCTGCACCATCTCAGCCCCACTACAAAAACCTTTCCTCCTTTGCAATCCACTCCTGAATTCGGCTTTTTCTGCTGTGGGGGTGAAAAGCGTCTCACTTTTCAGGTGGTGAGTGGAGATAGGGGCGTAAATCCCATGGAGGGCGGGGAAAGCAAGTGCTGGAAATGCATCATGGTCCTGCCAGCTTAACACCCCCCTCCCCACCCCCCAGAGTCCCCATATCCTGCATCCCATCCCAGAGGAGCCTCCAGCTCTGTGCCAGGTCCCGCTGGGAATCACCCCACATACACACCCCCAAATCCATCAAGGACAGCAGAAATAAAAAAAGGGACTTCTTGTTTCAAAACAAGGAATAACATCAGCTTAATTCAGTTTTCCATAGGGATAAATCCCCTACACAGTAGCAGACCCCCTATTCCTGTAACAGGGGGCACAGCCAGACCTCACTGATGGATATCTCAGCCGAACAACCCCAGATGGATGGGGAGGAAGCAGCAAAAGGTCCAGGATGTTTGCAGGATGCAAACCCGGCTCGCTTGGATGCTCAGGGGGATGAGGGGGGGTTGGCTGCACTAATCCCCCCATTAAGCACCATTTCACACCTCTCCAGAAGCTGGGAAGTTCTCGCTGCTTGGCTCTGGGAGGGGGAGGTAAGCGCTCCGCTTAAAACATCCCAGTGATTACCCAGGAATGCTGATGGAGAAGCAAATGCAGCAGAAGGGAACAGGCTTGGCAAAGCCTGGGGCTGCCGTAAGGGGCTATTTAGATAGTGCTGATACCTCCCAGCCCCCGGGAAGGACCATTTTCCTCCAGTCACAGCTGGACAACCACCGAAATGAGACTCCAGCCCAGCCGGGGAAGGCAGCAAAACGCCAGTCAAGGACATGGGGAGTTAGTTCTAGACCAGTTACTTCTCATTTTGGCTTTAAAGGGTTTGTGGGGAACAGAGGACCACGCACAGCCCATCTCTAGGCTTGAAGCCCGCCCAGAATCATGCAGACACCCTGGGGCGACTGCAGCATCCCCCGGGAATGGCAGGAAAAGTGCCACCGCAGGGACAATGGTTCCTTTCTGGCCAGATTCAGAGCAAATCCCCAAATCTGAACATCCCAACTATTCCTTTTGGACACTCCAGGAGTCTCAGGTCCCTTCTCCATGCTCATCCCAGCCTCATCCCCACTGCAGGAGGCTGCAAAGCTCAGCGGTCCCGGGGGCTCTGCCAGCACCAAGCAACCCTTGCTGCAGGGATTCCGGGCTTCCCACCGGGAAAACGGGGCTGGATCCTGCTCCGTGCAGCCGTCGGCTCCCCAGACCTTTTCCAGGCTCACTGGTTCCTACATTACAAGCCCCATGGCTGCTCCTGGACACACAGACCCTCACTGGCATCCCCAGTCAACCTGTTCAACGTTACCTCTCACC